GACTGTCTGTCGCTTCAGCCATCAGATCGTCCAGTATGATGATGTTGTTGTACCGCGTATGAATCTCGCTCATTTCACAGAAGCTTTACAGAAGCTTCACAGAAGCTTCACAGAAGCTTCACAGAAGCTTCACAGAAGCTTTACAGAAGCTTTACAGAAGCTTCACAGAAGCTTCACAGAAGCTTCACAGAAGCTTTACAGAAGCTTTACAGAAGCTTCACGGAAGCTTCACAGAAGCTTCACAGAAGCTTCACAGAAGCTTTACAGAAGCTTTACAGAAGCTTCACAGAAGCTTCACAGAAGCTTCACAGAAGCTTCACAGAAGCTTTACAGAAGCTTTACAGAAGCTTCACAGAAGCTTCACAGAAGCTTCACAGAAGCTTTACAGAAGCTTTACAGAAGCTTCACAGAAGCTTCACGGAAGCTCTTCCTGAAAGCAACAATACATAGAACCGTGTTTCTATGCAAACTTGAATCATTTGCCGGAGCAGTCATGCAGAGACGATTTCGCCGGACCTGTCCGCTTTGCGGTCGGCCTGATTTAAAGAATATCAGTACACATCTTTTACAAGTTCATGGTTTACAATCGAAGGAGAGAAAACCTTATCTTAAGCAAGCCAAGGTGTCGTCATGGCAGCCCTACATCGACAAATCTCCGTACATGAACTCTGAAAAGCAGGGAGAAAAGCGTGTGAGAAGAAGGGCATACTCGTTGCCAACTAAGAAACCCAAAACAGCACAAGCATCTCTGACCACCAAACCCTATCCGGAATTCAACTTCCGCCATAAATTTTCGCTATTGGTCGTGGGTCCGAGTCAAAGTGGAAAAACATATTTTGTACAACAAATTTTGGAAAAGAATCGTATCGTGTACGATGAGCAAAAACGTATTCGTATTTTTTGGTACTACAACCAGTGGCAAGATTGTTACAACAGTTTGAGAAAATCCCTCGGAAAAAGCATCCAGTTTGAGAGGGGTTTGCCTGAGCTGTCCGAGAACATGAGCGAGATTCATACGCGGTACAACAACATCATCATACTGGACGATCTGATGGCTGAAGCGACAAACAGTCCTGTGGTATCTCGATTATTTACCCAGGGTCGTCATAGAAACGCGAGTGTTATCCTTTTGCTCCAGAACATGTTTCCCAAAGGCAAATTTAATACAGATATTAGCCGAAATGCCCAATATCTCGCTCTCTTCCGAAGTCCTAGTGATAGGAAACAAATTGGTATCGTTGGAGAACGCATGTTTGATAAGAACAGAGTCCACTTTATGATTGCTTATTACAAAGAGACCGAAAAACCGTTTGGATATTTGGTCGTGGATAACAAACCTGACACACCAGCCGATAAGCAAGTTCTTGGGGACGTATTTGACGACTGTCATGTTTATCTCTTCGCCACCCAAACTAAAGAGAACAATACTAATGTCGAGCCCACACCGAGTCATAAGCCTGAAAGAAAACAACATAAACATCAGAGGTATATTACCTGGTCGGATGCAACTATTCCCGAGTGGCAAAACTACAGTTTGGGAGCGCCGGTGGTCCGTAACATTCCAGAAGGATATGCTATCACCGAGATGTATAAGTCATCGCGCAATAGTTTTGATCCTAGCCATCCGGGTGTCTACATCGGCGGAGAAAATTATTGGCCTGTTAAAATAGTGAACCAATCTACGGGTCGTATGAAGTGGGTGAATCTGCACGAAGACGAGCCAACGGTCCGAACCTTTGTTAAAGAAACCATGGCGAATGAACAATTAAGCCAAACGGCTCTTATTACAAAAAACATTTAAATTGTTGTGCGTAATTTAAATAAAATCAAACACATTATGCTCTAAGAAGTAGACCACATTAACTTTGTAAACGTTTCGAAGAAATAAATGTATTTTAAGACTGAATTCTTGTGTAAACTTTTGGCTGCAAAGCGCTCCTGTCTTGTCTAAATTGCTTTCTCTCTTCCAATATAAGCCTCCTTATTGTTGTGTTTCCAAGCCGCACGGATAACCCGCGACGCCCGCGCAATGAATATCCTAATCTATCCGTATTTATCCACACAGTAGAAAATGCAAATCTCTGATAAAAATTAATCCTTTAATTAGTTTCACCCTAACAACACATAGCAACTGGTGTGCTTTAATATAGCTTAAATTTGTTAACCTTAGCCGAGTTCAGTACTTTAAAAACCTAGCACTAAAATATAGAAATCGCTTGACAATTATATATCATGTGTTTATATAACTCTAGACAGCAACATATTCTCTCGTATATAGATCCCATATGGCAGACCGCGGGATTTAAATATTAGTTTAATTGTAAATACATAGCTCTTACTGCATGCTACTCCTCAGCGTTTTGACGCTTGATAATATTTACATATTACTTAACAACAAAACATATAGCTGTATACCCCGAATATATAAGTTTAAGATATATAACACTCATGCTATTTCATATAGTATCAAATTTTTTATTCCTCTATGAGCTAAATTATAGAAATCACTTGACAATAACAGCAAAATGCTATAGCTGTGCTTATAGAACTCCAGACAATAACATATTCTCCATTTTTCATATGGCAGACCTGGATTTAAATATTAGATATGGGAACGCTAGCAACATCTGTAAATGTAAAAAACACTCCTCAAACCTCAAATTGAATCGTAAGATTGAATCATTGAATCCTAAGAGTGAATCATTGAATCATAAGATTGAATAATTGAATCCTAAGATTGAATCATTGAATAGTAAGATTGAATCATTGAATCCTAAGAGTGAATCATTGAATCCTAAGAGTGAATCATTGAATCTTAAGATTGAATAATTGAATACTAAGATTGAATCATTGAATAGTAAGATTGAATCATTGAATCGTAATATTGAATCATTGAATCATAAGAGTGAATCATTGAATGATAAGATTGAATCATTGAATCATAAGATTGAATCATTGAATCATAAGAGTGAATCATTGAATCATAAGAGTGAATCATTGAATCATAAGAGTGAATCATTGAATCCTAAAGCCATTCGAGGATGATAAGGAAGATAAGGATAAGGAAGATAAGAAGATAAAATTAAGAAGATAAGATAAGGATAAGGAAGATAAAAAGATAAAGATAAGGAAGATAAAGATAAGGATAAAGAAGATAAAAAGATAAAGATAAGGAGGATAAAGATAAGGAAGATAAAGATAAGGAAGATAAAAAGGTAAAGATAAGGATAAGGAAGATAAAGATAAGGAAGATAAAAAGATAAAGATAAGGCTAAGGAAGATAAGGAGAAGGAAGTTAAAGATAAGGATAAGGAAGATAAAGATAAGGATAAGGAAAATAAGAAGATGAAGATAAGGGTCGATGTAGGGTCGATGTAGGGTCGATGTGAGGTCGATGTGGGGTCGATGTGGGGTCGATGTAGGGTCGATGTAGGGTTGATGTAGGGCTAGGGGTATAGAAACCATGGCGAATGAACAATTAAGCCGAACGACCTTTATTACAAAAAACGTTTAAATTGTTGTGCGTAATTTAAATAAAATCCAACACATTATGCTCTAAGAAGTAGACCACATTAACTTTGTAAACGTCTCGAAGAAATAAATGTATTTTAAGATTCAATTCTTGTGTAAACTTTTGGCTGCAAAGCGCTCCTGCATTGTCTAAATTGCTTTCTCTCTTCCAATATAAACCTCATTATTGTTGTGTTTCCAACCCGCACGGATAACCCGCGACGCCCGCGCAACGAATATCCTAATCTACCCGTATTTATCCATACAGTAGAAAATGCAAATCTCTGATAAAAAGTTAATCTTTTAATTAGTTTCACCCTAACAACACATAGCAACTGGCTTAAATTATATTAACCTTAGTTTATTAACGGCTTAAATTTATTAACCTTATCCGAGCTTTAGTACTTTAAAAACCTAGCACTAAAATATAGAAATCGCTTCACAATTATATATCATGACCTCTAACTTCCATGTGTTTATATAACTCTAGACAGCAACATATTCTCTCCCAGACCACATATGGCAGAACGGGATTTAAATATTAGTTTAATTGATTGAAATTTTACTTGCAATCCATGAATGACTGTTAATGACTTTGGTGTTATACGTTTTAGAGAGCCGCAAACGACAAAACTTCGATATAGCTTGCATATCATCTGTAATAACTGTCTGTGTGTTAGTATATTTTTCCTATCTCAAGCGCGCTGGGTGAAATAAAAAGTTGTATATATCCACACGAGGTGGGCGAGTTGATCACTTTTTAATGACTCTGTAATATGCAAATATTGACCATAACAACGGCGTTGACACCGATTTTAACTTGGGCTTAGCAACTGCTTAGTTCTGTCTAAAAATTTTCATATGTATGTCTAGATTTTTATTATTCCTTATTTAACTGTCCTAAACATGGTGAATACATCCCCAGGTAAGACCAAGGATGGTGTTAAAGTAGTGGACACTCTAAGATAATATAATAAAACCTTGTAATACGAATAATTCAAGTACACCTTTTATACTCTATTTCTACTGTCTTTATGATTTGGGGGAATTTTGAATAAACTGGGATATTCTCTGCAGAATCCCCGAGTCTTTGCAAGCTCCTATAAGTCTGGAATTTTCGTAATACCCAATTCTCACTGCGCATGCGTACAATATCTACGTCCCACAAGCATTACAACAACTTTAGTAGAATATATATCGAGAATGTGTTAAATGTTAAACTCCACTCAGTTTGTTAGAAGGAATAGATATGGAGATAAATATATTAGCAAAGTATTAAACCGTAAAAAAATTCTTAAAACACTAGTAATCATCGGTCCACCACATTCTTTAAAACATTACAAGCGTGTAATTGGTATGATATGATATACTGCTGAAGTAATGGGTGGAGCTCTAGTGCTCCATCCGCGCCAGAACCCCTCTTCCCTATACTACTACCGGCTATGTTACCCCCACCCCTATGGGATTAATTGTTGATATCAAAACTACTACAAAATGTCAAAAGCTGTGTTACCCCTACTGCCATAGGATACGATCTTTTTATATTCAGACACAATTCGAAAAAATATCGATCGAGAATATCATTTTTATGTTGCAAATTGAAACAAATATGAATGAAACATTGATTATTTTGCACTTACAACGGATGGCCGGAATTTAACGAAATACAGATCGTCAAACCACGCCGAAACTATGTAAATCGTATCGAAAGACGAAGTATGAAATGCGAATGGAATTTATAAGAATTTTTGCAACCGTTCAATTTATATTTGGTCTGTATCCTACATGGATATAACATCAAATATTAATACTTTTGGTAAATGGAATACTCTAAAATGCAGATGGAGTGGTAAATGTCAAAATTTCAACTGGATAATGGATGTTCTTGCCTCTTGGAATTGTCGATTACTGTTACACGTATAGTGGACATGCATGACATTGAAACTGGTTTGTCAACACAAATTTTGAGATATTTCAGCAACGAACAAACTTCAAATTTACAATCCCATGTGTTTTTACGCTGTATGTTTACGCTGTATGTTACTATAGCGAGAAATATCTCGAGGATATGTTGAGTACATGTACAGCATGTAAACAACTATGTAAACGCTGAGTAAACTGCTTAGTGCTGACCTGTGCTTGTAACACAAATTTCAAGCAACTATTGTGCAAGTTGCCCAAATGTAAGAAGTGTTTATATATTCAGTAACTATAAATCAAGCAAAGTTATACAATTTATATTGTTGCTGTATTATGTTAGATGTTATGCTCAAGATTATTCTACTGCATTACTGCATGGTATTAATTAACCAGCCTGCCATCCAGCTGACTAAAATTTTAAACAGCCATCTAAAAATTTGGATTGTCACTTGTGTCAAGAAACATGCCTTTACGCCAACAAAAGAGATACACCTCCATGTGTAAATAAAATAATACAGGGATCGATCCAGCATGATCTGGTAGGGGGCTGCTCTGCAAGCTCTGCGCAGAGTGGTGCCGCCAGCTCGATAATTGGGGGGGGGGGCAAATATTCATATATTTGTGTTCACAGAGCATAAAAACAATCAATTTCAAAAGAAGTTAATAATGCAGAACACGAAGATATGAATATTCGCCCCCCCCCCAATTATCGAGCTGGCGGCGCCACTGAAGCTCTGGTGCAGAGTTGTGTCGGTCATGTGTGCCACTCGCCCATCAACATACTACATTTGAATTTGAATTGTTGTTCACAGTTTGCTTATCATGTTATTGCTCAAATTACTGTATCTCATTTTGTCTCTATTATTTTTTGCTTTATCATGAAAAAAGCACCCCCTTCACCCTCTCCTGTCAGGGCTTGGAGGGTGCACCCCCCTCTAGTAAATCTGCAACTTGCAATGCAATTTCTGATAAAAGGCGATGTGATTTAAAAATAAGTCAGAGGGAAATTGTGAGCATAGACAACAGTTTACACTACTTTTATTTTTTTATCCCATTTTCATCCATTAAAAACATGTTATATATTAAAGGTGTCAGCAGAACAGAATGCTGGCCATGTTCAATTATGTCACTATTTTATCTGGCAGGTTATGACATGCTTGATCAATGTTGTCATTGACAATGGTTGCTTGTCCATGTGTTGTAGCCTTGAAGCTGCTAATTGTACAATGTAAACCATGCTGTTCACACTTTCTAGGATGCAGCAACTTAGTCTCCATCTCAGACATGCAAAATAGCACCTAGTTTCTTGCATAGAAATCCTGACAATTCAACATCTTCATTTGGATTAAAAAAAATTAAAAAATTATTATTATAATCATCTACCATGTTATTGTTTAACTGCTGGATTGTACAATGCAATTCACACCATGCAGGTACTGGACACTAGTGCACACATGAACAAGACATAGTATAGTAAGTAGGGGCGTCACTAAGGCATCAACATTGGGGGGGGGGGTCGTCATGTTTTGATCAATATTTAATAAAATTTTGACCATGTCGTAAACCCGGAAATGTTGTCGACAGGGGGTAAAAAAAATTTCCAGACTAATATAAGCATATTTATAAATTTTTCGACCAAAATAAGCAAGGCTTGCCAATATTTAATAACCACAATTTACCAACTTTGACCTTAAATTTTAAGCAAATACCAGTTCCATTTTGACCAACGTTTCAACCCCCACACACACCCCGGTAGCAACGATAGTGAATATAGTAAGTGAACCCAGCTAATTTTAGACTTTAGGCAGTGGCGTTCCTTCACTGATTGGCATACTCGGCCAATCTGACAACCAAACACCAGACCAAGGCTTTTTCACTCAAATCAATCTGGCTCTTGCCTTGGTTCACAGTGCTTGGTTTCAATTAATAATGGGTCCACAATTATCAAGCTGAAATGTGTTTTATCTTTTTACATTTCTACACATCATATGTAGGGTAATTTTGTCCTGCTTCTAACAACCATGAACAGACAGATTGAACTAACTGTACATGATAATTGTACTATTTTAAATAATTATGCCAGCCAGACATTAACAATTATTTAAAACACAAAACAACTATAATTGATCCAAAAAAATATTATATGAAATTAAATGCATTTCATTGTGATGTTAACACAAAGTCTATCTTTATAGTGCTTAAAAGATTACAACAAGATTTCTATTTCTATCTACAGCTTATACAAAAATATACGTCCACCTTGATGTTTTCCGTTTACAGATATACAAAAATATATGTCAACTGACAACATGTAAATTATTTGATGACAATTTTAATTTCCGGGTTAAGATTCTTTCAATTGTCCACAAAAGCTGTATTCTTAATCGTTTAGCCGCCTTTAGCGAGCGTATCAATATATATTCACTAATTTTCATAATTCTTCACTCCATGCAATCCGCCATCTTGGATGACAAATCCTCCCCCACGTGCATACCCCAGAGACGAAATCGCTGCGCAAGCAAGATGCGCTGAACGGCTCAACCATGTCGGGTTTTGGCAGGCATCTCACCGACTTTCTGAAGTACGTGAACTACGAGATGCCTGCGGAGGAGGCTAGTACTTATTTAAGCATATTATCACTGGTTTGGTGTAAAATAGTTAATATTTTCTGACCGAAATAATAATTTGAAATGTGCCTACCTCCTGCAAATGGACGTATTTGGCCAAGTTCTCCACTTTACTCCGCTGGTTTATCGGCGATCTCGTCGACATCCTACAAAAAATGTAAATCATCTCAGACATAATGGTATCAAGAACATTTTAAACAAGTTTCAACCTGGTTTCAAGTAGATCATACCTGTTTAACCATCGACAAGGTAAATCCACAACTTTGTCCAAATTCGGCGCCATTTTGTCATCCCATGTCGCTTGTTAACAATTCAGCCTTGTTACTCTTCCATCCAAGCCATTTTCATTCCACTAATAATAAATTTAACCCTTTATAACAGGAGGAAACTAAAAAATCTAAACAAAATATAAGAAATACGCCATTTTATCACCATGTAAAATTTTGCTCACGAGTCTTTCAAAACATTCCGTACAAATATCGCGTGACAAAGTAACAGGGACGTGACAGGAGGGGGTGAATTATTTCACGAAGATAGAAGAAGGCTGCGTGAAATAGACTAAAGCTAAATACAATCATACAAATGTTTGTTTTATTTCTTGTAGCGACAAATATATACATATTATTATTTATTAATATGAAAAAGTCATACAAATGAAATGTTGATTGTTGGTTTTACCATACTGTGTGGGCTTTCCTTTCAAGTGTCTACCCCCCCCCCTGTCACGTCCCTGTTGCTAAACCAGGTCATCACATTGGATGGCATTTGTGCATGTAGGACAGTTGCAGATCTTAATAGATTTAAGGATCTAAACTCAAATTTATGGAACTAAATTATATGGATTTATGGAACTAAAATCAAATTAAATATGGATTGATAATATGGATAAAAAATATGGATTTATGGAACTAAAATCAAATCAAAGTGTTGTTTACATTTTTGGGGTTGTACAAAGTTTCATTTACTTGGTTCCCTTTGTAAAAACAA